GTAACAGTGTTGTCCCGGCCTTTTCTGAGAAGTAGACTAAAGCCAAAGCTCTTGGATTTTCTGACAACTCATCAGCATCATTGTACAGAAACAACTGTGTGTGAGACCCACTGTGTTGATAGCTTACAGGCAGCAAAACATGTGTTGACTACAAAGTAGAGCACAAATGTGCTATAATTCAAAACCTGATTTCACTTTGAGTATTACTGCTCTGTTGAAATGCTATCATTACTAACATAGAGTACTATAAAGACTACTGAAGTGTTATGGTGGCCCAGCAATGTAGTCTAGGCTGATGTTGATTGATGATAAAATGCTGAAAAAAACACAAGGAGGAGCTGATATACTGTGCCTCCCCAACCCACATTGAGCTGCAGTCAATGCGATGCAAATGGAATAACATCAAGGGCTGACATTTTATTTTTGCACTTTGGTTTACAGTATGTGTGGTTGCCCTTTAAATCACTTGTGATAATTTTGAACATGACTCCTTCTGTCGACCCCTTTTAGGTCCCAACTCAAAAAAAATAAAAAAAATAAAGAAAAATAAAGAAAAATGCAAATACTCTGATACTCTGTGGTGGGAGAGCAGCTTTTCACAGTCAAACTGAAAATGATGAAAAAATATTTACAGTCCAAGCAAATATTTTTGGAAATGACAGTGATAACATGTGCTTCCCAGCCCATGTCTGACATTCACATCACACCGAATATAGTTTTGTACTGCTGAAACTTCCCTCTCTTTATTTGTTAGTGTGAAAAAAGGGTTAGTGTTCACATTTATTTCCTGTTTTCAGTTCAGCTCATTGCAGCTGTGTATCCATTTATGTCAAACCACCGGTGTCTGTATCCCCACATCCCAATTTCCTACAGTAAACCTGTGGTTGTCTGCTTCATGCCAGTCTTCAAAACTGTATCTTGCCTCCTGGTATGTTTTCACAGTTCAAGACAATCAGCAGGTGTGGACACTACACAACCTTATTTTCTTTCTTTCTGTCATGTTCTCGATCTTCCTGTGTCAGATGCATTCATCCCTCTCAATTTGTCTCTCTCAGTTTCTCTATTAACTCTCTGTTTCTTTCCTGCAGTCGCACTTCCCAAGAAGTGTCTAATGCATGTGCCGCTTATATGTTTACGTTACAAACTTACCATTGCTGACTTTTCTCTCTCTCTTTAACAGTGCTGCCCGTCTTCACACTTTTTCATTGCCTCTTGTAGTAGCACATTCTTGTTTTTGTCTGAAATGCACCTATCAACTTGTCTATCTTTTTTTGTGCATGCTGTTCACCCCACAATACCTCCCCATTCAACATGGCTGCAGGAAAGTGGAAGTTCCCCCTCTACTTCCTCCCCACATGAATACTGAGACCTCTCTCTTTTTTCTCTCTGACCACAAACCAGAGAAGGCCTTTTGCACAGTCTGCACAGGGTGTAGTTGGCCTCAAAATCTGAACTATTGAAGCTTCATTTCCAGTGAACTGAAAATATAATTTGCTTGAACCCCGACTTTAAATGGATCTAAACAATTTCAAAGTTGCTAACATGTATAGCAGCCCTATAACTGAACCTGTTCCTTCAGCCAAGTGGGTTAAGAGTGCAAGAGCCGCAGAGGCGCAGACCACCATTACCAGCGCAAATCCCAAGCAGAAAAATTGTAGTGTACCACATCTTTTGCAGTGTTTCCACTGTGACATTACACCAATCAGTCATTGAATTGTATTTATTTTCTCACAGCATTTCTCTTACATTGCAACACCAGCGAACAGTTTAAAACAACATTACTATATGTGATATCAGATTTCTAGCGCTTCAACTTGATTACTCCTAAAATATGGGCGTGTAACAGAAACTAGCTAGGCGTGCAGGTTGTCATCCCGTGTGTATGTGCGTGCACGCATATCTTGTGTTGGTGTGTGTGAACGTTTTAGGGCCTGTCTAAACATCCACCACTACCTGGCAGGAAAAACAGGAACAGGACTTGTCACGAGCCAATTGCACAACGTTGGTGGGGATTCACACAAAAAAGATCTGGAACTACTCCCTGTTCTGTAAGCTTGTAAGCTGAAACCTAAAGGGCAGGCAGCACTCTTGGTATCTCAGACTGTGTGATTTCCAAGTTAAACACTATCCATCTTTATGAATGCAACTTTGCTTTACTGTTCAGTCAGTGTTGACATGCAAGTGTAACTAAATACCTTTTTTCCTGTTTGCTAATAAAGAAATTAAACTGATTTAGCCCAGCCACAGATGATTAATATACTCTTATTTATTCACAACATACTAAGGTTGCTCTTGATATACTGTATGCTGGCTTTCTACAGTACTAGTATAAGGTGTGCTTTGTTTTAATCTGAAGTTGTCTGTATGTAGGGTGGATACCAGTAGTTTCCAGTGCTTTTGCAACTCTGTGCAGCTTTTATTGTCTAACAGGATTTGCAGAAGAAGTTTCACGGGGAGTGGAACCTGGCAGAGGAAGTCTTGCAGTCACAAAGCTTTATTCAGCTATCTGTCCTGAGAAGAAGACAAAAAAAAGGGGCTATAGCTGCACAATACCTAACACTCACATATCAAGCCAGTATCAACAGCAGGTTCCACAAACCAACAATGACTGCCATGACTTACAAATCATACAGTGTTCTATACTTTATTTATGCGGCAGCTACAAAATACTACTCTGTTGTATTTTCTGGGAGAAAACACATTTAGCCCTTTGAAATCTAACAGCTAAAATGGCTTGTTGATTAGACAGCTCATCATAGAGTGACGAGTGCGTGCTTCATCTGCAGATTGGCACGATTTCAGGTTCATGTGTCATCATTTTCCTTGACCACTGAAAACCACGACACTGACTCAAACCTTGAAAGTGACTAAAAGGTTAATTTTCAACATGTCAGACTCTAAGAAATGTCATAGTACGGTAAGCACCGTCATAGTCAATGACAGATTAGTTATACTTAGTAATAAAAAGAAAATAGTAAGTAATAGTGATGAATAACTGTGATGACTACCAAGCACCATGAAAATGTAGTATATTTTGATATACGACGTTTAGAACTATTGTGTTTTTTGTGATATTGTAATAATTACTGACTCAAAATGATGGCAATGATCTATTTTTCAAATAAACTTTTTTTTCCTTTGCTTTCGGCATGGAATGGGTGAATACGTTTTTCCTTTTTTTTTGTTTTTTTGTTTTTCTTTTTTTGCAACAGTACCACAAAGAGGGCAGGTGTATCACTCCTATGCTGAAAGTATGACTCAAACAGAGATATCATCTAGATGGGAACAAACAATCAACTGACAGGCAGAAAACTGGAGGAATCTGAACATGAAAAGATACAGTTTGGGGTCTGTTCAGGCTTTGCACTTCTCAGTTTTGCGACCGCCTTCACGCAGCTTTGATTTAGTATGTGCTTGCTGTGTGAATATGTGTGAGGGTGTCTGTGTGCAATATACCGATTAAAGAAGTAAGGGGGTGAGGAAGACTGCTCTGACATTTGAGGCTTCAACAGGCTCTAGTAACCACCTGTTCACAGACAAAGAGTGGAGTGGAACAAACAGTCATTACATTGCAAATGAAGGCAAGCCTCTGTGGCTGTACAGTAAGGATTTAGGAGGGTTGGCTGCGCACTTCATTTTTAGAAATTATTCCTTACCATGATAAAAGATACAGCAGACAGTTTACATTGTGGTTTTCCATTTCCTCAAATAGGCTCATCAGTGTTGTGTTATTGAAGCTGTTAAATGCTGATTTTTGTATTGCTATTTTTTGTGTTGCAAATATATATTTTTTAGCAATAATATGAATTTGGCGCTTGGTTAAAGTTCTAAAGTTTCAAGTACAAAAAAAAAAAAATCACGTTACATTTATTTATTCAATTATTTTAAAAGATATATTACTACTTGGTGTTTAAGATGTTTTTGAGTTTATATAGAATTAAAATCAGTGATGAATGTCAGCATTTTATAGTCTGGGGCTTATTTATCTCTTTGTTTTTATTATTCATGGTTATGAAATTGGCCTTTTATAAGAATTAAACTGCACATTCAGTACACATAAAATCAATATATTTCACATATACTTTATTTTTTTATACTAGAAAGCAGATTTTGAAGTAGAGATACAGACATCGCTAAGAAAATTCTTTCTTCATATTCGGTACACTGTTCTATAGAATTAAAGCTATCGCCAAAGAACATGACTTTGGCTGATAAGATCATTCAAACACAACATAGTCTCAACATAGTCCCAGTGTCACCAATTCAACTGTCACCTGATGATCATTTGGTCTTTTGTGCGTTTTGATTTCAACTGTGAAAAACATTAGAATGCCTTTACATATAACCAACATTGCAGGTGTAAGATAAACAATTCAAATTCAAACAATAAGAAAAGTGTGGAAGTTGAATAGTTTTCTAGGGATGTTTTCTGACCTTTAGGCTCTTTAATGTTGCATCAACAGATTTCAACATTCAATTTTTATCTTGCAATAAAGAATTTTATTTGCAAGTAAGGTACAGTTTGCATGTTTTGCAGAAAACAACACAGTATTATGTTTGTCTTCCTGTTTAAAAATGAATGAAATAGGCAAAGCAGTAAAACCATGTATAGAGAAGAGAGAAAGTCATGCCTTAAAATATACATTGAATTCTTCACAGCAGTGTGCCTTCATGTATGGTCACTGTTGAAAAAAGGGGCTTAAGAATACTCCAACTTCCTTCACCATATTCAGTGTTAAACTATTTTAAGTCAAGAGAAATGATCATAGAAATTAAATTCAATATGCATCTTTTTTTCATAAATAAATCACATATTTTAAGACTTAAAAATACACATCCTATGTAAATACCTGAGAGCCCTCATATCAGAAAGTTGGTATCGATATCAAAGTTGTTCAATCAGCACACATATATGGATAAATGTTCATTTTCAGTGCCAAAATATACACTGTTTGTATACTGTTTCTTAAAAAATACAATGCACCCGGAACCCTGCCTTTTACATTTTTTGTAAACATTTTTAAATAAAAAAAACACACACAAAATTCACAAAACTATTTGCAACATTTCAGCAGAAAAATAGACATTTACCACACTGTACAAAAACATTCCCCCCGATCTGTAACAATAGCAATAATCGTTCAAGTAAAGTCCTCACTCACTAGGAAAGCTGACAGAAGACACTTTTTTTTTGTTATGGTTTGTTTTTTTTGTTTGTTTGTTTATATGGCTGCTTCAGTAAAGGAAAAAGAGTAAGTCAAGAATCTGTCAACAGATAAGTAAATAGTTGGAACTGTGATATACCTGTACCCCAAAGGATGTTACTAAATATAACCTGGAGAGTAAGTAACTAAAGAGTAACTAAAAAAACAAAAATAAAACAACAACAACAAAAAACCCTGTAATATATTATCCTACATTTAGTTTAAGCTCTGTTCTGTCCTGGGATAAGGAGAGAAAACCAAGGGATCCTTAACACAGATTTTATCACAGGATAAATAAACTGACTCCTTTTTTTCTTTTTTCTTTTTTTAGAAAAAAAATCTAGGAATAATATGACAGAGGAATGTACAGAGTCAATATCACAGCTGCAAGATGTAAACAATTTCTAGTGCCAAAACTTTACAAATAGTAAGGTTTTATGCAAGCTGGGCACCATTTGCGCATGAAAAGAAGCAACATGTAAACAGAGAAAAAGCTGCCTTTTGATTACGAGTAGATACTGAACAAAAAGAAAAGTTCACTGAGTTTAGCCTTAGAGCATAATAGCCTGCTCATAATGTTAGACAATACATGTTTAAAACTCATAATGCCAACGGTTTTGTGAGTCCATTAAAAAAAGTACATGTTCATCAGGCAGCAGAGCAAAAACCGACACAGTCCTAATTTCCAGTGTCCTGCTCAAGATTTTTCCCTCAAACAAAAGTCTAACTTTTGTTCTGACAATGATCGTTTGAAACAGTCACAACACTTAAAAATTAAAACTAGAAAACATTTGACATTTCTGCTTTAAAGAGACATAAAGTGCATGAACAACTGTACCAAGCACAGTCTTATCGGAGTCCTTTCACAGCAGAGACAGTAACTTTGAAAGAACTGGCTTTGACAATGTACTGCTAAATGATGGAGGTTGTAATACTCCTACTCTATAGATTTGGGATGCTACAACTATCAGAAGAGCCTTCAGAGTAGTAGTACGTGGTACGCTTCTTTAACTCCGCCTCCTGCTCATGCTGTCTCTTTCGTGGTCCCCTTTGTAAAAGGTCATACATGAACTTGGTGACATTATGGCGATGCAAAGAGTAACATTCAGAAAATGAGGAAGAGGAACAGACATTAGTGTGTATCTGTGTGGGAGATGGGGCTTATGAGGAGCGGAGAAGGGGCAGCCTTAAACAAACAAGATCAGGTCGATAATACCATATTATCACATGACAATTTTAGGAATTTAGCCTTAGAAAAAAATACACTTCCCCATATTAGTCATGTCTACAAACAGGATGAAAGAATATATTACACATGCACAGACAGACAGACCATCCCAATGAATTCAAAAAGTGGATTAGATCAAAAGGAAAGGCATACAGTAAAGCACAAAGTGAGGTACAATAGAGAACATCCAGTGCTGTCACTTTGGTATCCACTGCCATAAAGAATCATACTGCAGCCAGGTAGTTAAATGACTTCAAGATTGTTAAGGGCTTCTATACCACCATCATGCTTTTTTTGTCCATGTGGACAACATTTCTGACAGTTGTTTTTTTTTATACTCAAAGTTTAAGAATATAGCAGTGCACTCAAACTGTAAGCAACACAATGTCTGAGTCAACAGGACACAGTAGTATTCCGCAGAAGTACAAAGGAAATTAAAAAGGTATTTGGACATCTTACCCTGAAAGTGTAGAGAAAGAAAACAATTGAAAAAAGACGCCCTCAACTGAACTTTTAAAAGTCACAGATACAACAAGAATGACTAGGCAACAGTTTTTATGTTTAACTTTCAGAGTGATTTTTCTTATGTCCTCTTGCATTTAAATGGTGACTGATTATAACAGAGAAAAATATGTCTCAATATAAGCAACAATTTCAGTTTCATGAACTATAAATAGGATCATTTCAAAATGTAAGACAAACTGAAATTTGTCTTAGATAAATATTTGAGATAATTCATTGTGTTTCCAGTGCTCTGTTAAGCAACCTCAAGAACACATTAGACATTGTGCTTTTCAACATGTTTTTCTCTTAAACAGAGGAGAACACTTTTTTTCCCCAATCAAGATATTTCAACTATGTTTACCAGCTTAAACACTGCCCTAAAGTCGTTTTCATATGTTGCTTTAGATAGTCTCTTTTTTATTTGGCAGGATTTTAAAATTACAAAATAGACAAGCCACCAACAGGAAGTTGGTGGTTTTCTTTATCTGCGCTAATGGTTCACAAATGCTTTACAAGCCCCTGAGAGATGGAAAAACATGGGTGGTATGATATGGTAAGCTAAAACATGCACCATTTGCAGAGAGTTAAAGTAACATAATACAATAATAATGCCTTCAATATTTTCAACTGCTCATTATCAGATAGGCAGATAGCAATAACTAAAAGACTCTCCTGAGCTTTTGCACAGGAAATCACATTGTTTATCATTGTTTATAATGATATGCAAGACAATTTACTCTGAATTACAAAATGTGATAAGGTGGTGTATATATTTATGGGGGCTAATAGCATTTTCTAAATCTAGGCAGCAATGCACTTGCATACCCACTGAGAATAGAACCAGAATGCATTCAGTATATTTACTAACATCTGATAGCATCAATGATCAAATTTTTTATAAGTACAATAATGAATAAGTGCTACTATTTTGTCGAACATAGTGATGTTTTTTAGTGACATTATACACCACCTGCAGCCTTGACGTTTGTCTAGTAATCTGAAACTGATTTTTATCAACCACACTGAGCCCACAGGGCAGAAACAAGTTCTAATATACCATCTATATGCATGCATTATGTCTTCAGAATGAAAACGGTTAAAAGCATGATGAGAGGGAAAACACAAAAGAATATACTTCAGAATAGACTAAAATGAAAAAAAGAAAAACACTTGTCAATGCCCTTTGACAGCTGCTCTAATATAGAATCTAGTAAGATTTTGAGAAAAAAAAAGTCCTTCCTTTACATTAATCGCAATTAAATAGTACAAAATGTGTCTTTGGCCCATACCTTCATGTGATTGTTAAACTGTTCAGATTCGCAATAAGTAGCTTAAAAAGAAAGTCTGTGATTGTGCTACACTTGTCTACAATGCCATTCAACAATGCAGTCTCAGAGGAGATAAGGACGGATATCAGGGTATTGCTCCTTTCACTTCTTTGTCTATCCCTCAATTTTCTACCCATCCTCTTACTGGAAGGTGTGTTCACCCCGTACTATGTGAGAGGAGAACTCATAGCGGTCCTTGCTCCGGTGACCACAGATGTTGCACTCCAGTGGATCTCTGTATCCGTGGCAACCCATGTGGATGGTGTACATGACATGGTCCAGGAAGAGCACTCGACAGTGCTCACACTGGAAGGCCCTTAATTCCTGGCCCTCCCGTCCAAACACCCGTATCCCTTCCTGGCTCACAGGCCTCTCTGTTGCCAGTCGCATTATCCCAACCCCGAATCCTGCCCCACTTCTAGGTGATGCATCTCTCATCCGCTCACCTGAAAAGACCACTGCTGGACTGCCACGAGACCTGAGGCCCACGGGGGCATTGCTGCCATGGTATCCCTGCCTTTCCTGAGGGCTGCTGCGAGCTGAGTCAGCAGATTCAACACCACTGTTGCTGGGTGACTCCTCTTGCCCTTGTTGGGGATGCTTACCTGGCCTTGTTAAACCAGTGGGGCCATTTGAGGTGGGATGACCGGGGAACTCATGGGGCTGAGGCGGCTGTGTTGGTAGTGTGTCACAGTTTCCTGAACGTTCTGTTCGTTGGCTCAGTGGCAGGACATGGGGGAAGAGTGGGTTCACAATAGGCACCACCTCAGCCATAGAAAGTGGAGGACCTGGATGGTGGAGCATGGGGCGTAGGGTGTCTGATCCCAGGTATGTGATGGCATTGTTGATAGCCTGGTCCATCATGTGGGGAGGCATCATTTCAGACTGCTTCTCATACTTAACAGCCATGTCATAGCTCATATCAGGATAGCTATAGCGAGGCATCTTTTCACCTGTAAACAGCAGAGTAGTTCATGACTGCATGTAAATAATGATGATGGCAATTTCTTGTTAAAATAAGATATATATATAGATGCAGCAGCATAAGTGGCAAAAATACTCTTATTTTTATCTTCAGTCAAGAAGGAAAATGAATATGTACAAATGCAAATACTGATTGTAATTTCCATTCTAGACAGTGAATGTTATGGCTTGGTGATATTTTGATCTTGTTTTTCACATTTTGTGCATGATGTTTGAGTCTAATGAGTGGAAAGCCCCATCCATCTACGACTGCAGTGTTTAACCCCTCGAGAACAGGGATGCGGTAAGCTGTTTTCTCTCGATAAGAGCAATGGCAAAGTTACAGGTGTACGTAACCACAGAGTGAAAAAAACACTTCCTTGCCTCTCAGTCAGCTTGCTCTAGTTGCTCAATCTCATCTTCTAATAGTGTGGCAAATTAAAAAAAAACAGTAGGCCAAAGCTATTGTGTGATATTATATAATACTATATAATGCAAAACTATGGAACAAGGGGAAGACAAATCAAACTAAGCAAGCTCAAAAAATAAAATCGGGTAAGCTGATAAAAACAATAGCATGTGATTAATGCTCAAGTAAAATCATTTGCAAGACTCCTATAAACCAATTAAATTAATCAATTCATTGTTGAACAATAATATATTTATATGATAACAACAGCATATAGGCATGCTTTGTAGGTCAGAGTCGTAAAAAAGATCACTGCATGCAGAACATAATACAACAAATTATTTCAGTTGGTACTTCAACTGCTAAACCCCAACCTCCTCCCACCCCACTCGTCTGAATAAAACATCATATGAAACATTTGTTTTTTATCTTCGTGGTAATTAGAGTAGTCAATTTGCTGACTATGTCTGAAATGCATGTATGACTCACCCACAAATTTCTGAGGTGTGGTGCTCTTCCTCTTGCCTACATTGCTATGCAGTCTTTCAATAACAGGTGGCCGATCAAAGGTGGCCATGGTGGGCTCTGGCATGGGCCTTGGCTCTTTTGGAACGTCACCTTAAAAGGAGTGAACAGGTGATAAGAAGGAGCACGAATACAGCTGGGTGTTTAAAAGGAAAAATAAATGAAGAAATGATCGTGTTTAGAATAAAAGTAAGATGAATTTTGCTTAGGGCAAGTGCAGCTTTATATTATCTTTATTTCAAAATCTAAATTAGATTGTGCTGTTTGCAAAATAAATAACTTAACTGAGTATTTTGTAAGTATACTCAGATAGCAAAAGTTGCGCAAAATAATATATCAGTCATTAGTGCTTAATGGTAAGGATTATTTCCAGTTCATTCAAGAATTAACTTTACTGTATTATATGTACGTTTACTGGTTTCAATTCTAGTGAATTTATTTTTACCTGTGTAAGGCCCACTGTTGACATTAGGATCCAAGCCGATACCCTGCAGGTAACCATGGCAACGCTCTTTATGTTCCTCTAAAGATGTCCGCTGTTTGTAACTCCGCCCACAGTAGTTACACTTGTGCGGTTTGCCGACTAAAAGCAAAAACATTCAGTCTATTAATTTCATTCATCGCTGTAGACAGAGAGTGGGCAGTATCCAGTGCCGCAGTATTTAGGTGGTGCGTAGTAGTACACACTGTGAACAGTAAGTAGTACAAACAAACCAAAACCAAGCTACTGAGATCATGGAGGTTCCACTACTAGTGTGATTCCACACAACTATTGCCAGACAGAAACACAAGTTGTGGGCGACCAAGACTGTTGCGCCATAAAGTCTGCATTTCAAAACGCTTTGGTCTGTGCAGCAAACTCCCACTGCAGAGGCATAGCATGAGTAAATAATGGAATTGATCATGCATCCCATTGTGGCGGTAGGAAACTAACTCCAGGTTAAACTGCTATGGAGGTGGAGTGTGATTCATTGTTCTATTTAATTAGATTCCTTCCTACGAAGAAAAGTGAAAAATATAAAGACTCATTCTTTACATCTGTCTTAGTCCACTCATTTCCTTTCATACGTCACGTTTGCTTCAACAAGCATTCAACACACCAATGAATTATTGGAGGTGATTTCTGTTGTTTAAAGAAGTTATTGTACACTATCCGGGCAGTTAGTTATCAGCTTACTTGTGAGCAACACGAGCTGTTTCCATACTGACATGTAAGTTGAGTCAAAAATGGTTAAAAAAAATAATAATTGCAACATGCTTCAACAAGCGAAATCCCAGACACTGCAGAGGGAAAGATCTGAGTCCTGCGTCAGAGTATTCTCAAAATTAGAATGACTCATGAAGTGAACTGAAGACCACAACAGCTAACCAATATGACAAACATGGCACCTTTGGCCAAGTGATGTAGACTCATGGTGACAGTATTACTAGAAGAAGATGTGATCCAGTGCTCTTTTCACTGTGAGAACAGAGAAACCCAAAACCTTTCACTTTGAGCATGGAGGTTGTAACACACATACGAGCAGTCACACAAACTACACACACATTTAGAGCTAGGTGACAGTTCACATGTTAACAGAAGTACTCTTTCTCACATAGAAAAGGCGAGTGGAGTTATTAAAAAAAAGAAAAGTTTCCAAATGTTACGCTGTCTGTGCTGGACTTTTCCTTTTGATGATGTGAATGAAATAAAACCCACTTGTTACACAATGACATGACCAGTCATGGCCAATCTTACATTTCTTGTGTGAATCATTTAAAAGAATAATAGTTTTTTTCTGCCGTATATGTCATTCAGTACTTCTGTGGTCTGTGAATGACACTGTATGGGCTGAACTTGAAACTGGGGTTTATTATCTTTTTTTTCTGAGTATGAACAGTTACAAGAGTACTGCATAATGACAAAAGGTTTCAATATTATCAAAGTGTGGGTAGTGTGGAAGTGTGGTGTATATGCAGGGTCATCTCAGCAATATTCATTTTGGTAATGAAAGAGTTACTTCAAAATGAAACGTCATCATGGAAATAATTGCCTTTGCTTTCCAGCCGTGCGGTACTCTAACAGTGGAGTAGGCAGTATTCAGTCAACAAGACTCACTCCCTTGTTCTCAGTGGCTATACAGATTCTCACTCACACTACATAGGCTTCATTACTTTTTCATATTTATATAACCACCCACACACAATCTTGCACAGATGTTGAGTGGACACATTACAGGTGCTATTCTTATTCATGCAAACGGTCCACTGTGAACTCAGACCCACTTTATTGACGCCATCTGGATAATAAATAAAAACCTGTTTGAATTTAGACCTTAAATAATATAAAACCCTGTCACCTGATTTTCCTGCATTACTATTTTACCAATCAACTGTGCCTGAATGAAAAATGTCATCTTCCAGTATAAGGTTTAATCTAGCCTTTGTCTTCACTGTCTCTCACCGTAGTCTTCCGTTTTCATCATCTGACCTCTCTGTCAAAGCTTTGTATTTCTCTTTTCTTTCTACCTGTTCTTCCTGGCAGGGCACCAAACCACAAATACCAGGATTCCAATAGTCGTATAATGAATAGTCCCCGAACACAGAGAGGGAGGGAGTCAAGATTACACACGTCGGTCAAATATCCAAATCGATGTTCGGAAGAGTCAAATTTAGAGTCTACGAAAGGACAAACAAATTCAGATCAACAGAAGTGTAACCAAGAAAATGGTAATGAAGGTAGGTGACAAATGTGACAAAAATAAATAAGATGTGTGTAAAGGAATCATGTAAGTAAGGGTTTCTAAGAGCAAAATTACACCTGCACGCACACGAAACTGTACATAAACACATGGGCATACACATAAGCACAAAAGTTAGCTTTAACAAAGAGAACTATATATGAGTAAACCCTGCGGGGCATCACAGACAGAAATGACGGTATTGTCTGACCTTGATTTCAAAGGCGCAACAAAAGGGAGAGCACATCCTCATATAGGAAAGTGGGTTACAGTTGATACAGCCAGCACTCCCCATGTGTTTCTCAACAGACAGATAGTTTCCTCCTTAGCGACTAAGGAACAGCGTGTTTCTTGGTACCTAACCACAAAGCACTCACTGTGCCGTATATAACACGCAGATAAAAAGAAGACATAATCTATCTAAAAGACAAGATATGGCCTCACCAGCCAGCATAAATACTACCTAAGAGGTTAATAGTATGTTGAAAGGGTTTGGGCTTTTTTAAATAGTGTACCTCAATATCGAATGCTTATGTCGACTGCATATATATCTATATATATATATAGATATATATGTAGATATATATACACACAAAGTCTCTTCTGGTTAGCACAAGTGGGCAAGTAAAAAGGGAAGAAAAGGGGCTGAGGAGGAGAACACTTACCAGCATGAGTGCGCAAATGACCAGTGAGGGCATCGCGCCTCCGGCAGGCGTAGCTGCAGAAGGGGCATTTGAAGGGTTTTTCACCTGTATGGAGTTTGATGTGTCGTAGCAGGTTTCCCTTCTGGGTGAACGACACACCACACTGGTTGCACTGGAACGGCCTGTCTCCTGTGAGTTTCATGAACAGGAAGTCAATGCCACAATCACTATGGATATTTTTTTGAAAGTAACAACAAACCTAAGAAGACACTGTTTATAACTGGATTTTTTTTTCCTTAATATTTTAAAATATGTCATTCGAATTATTATGACATGGTATTTGACTCTTTGAACAACTTGGTAGTTGCCAATGAACAACAAACAAAATAATTATTCAGTACAGCTTCTGACCGTGATAATACATCACATAGTTACACAAAACACAAAAACTTGATAACATGAGCGTAGTGTACTTGCGATTCTCTTCTGGAAACTCTTAAGGAATCAAAAATATATTGTAATCAGCATTAACATTAGCATTAAATATACTTTTGGCTGAAGTAAAGTTACAAATGCAAGTGCTACAGTGTCTAATACACAAGCACATATATGTATGGACTACTTTAGACTACTTTTAATCTGGAGATGGAAAAGAGAAATATGACCTGTGATAACCAGAGTACTCATGGCGTCAACTGAAACCTGTTGCGGAGGATTCCAAGGATATTTTTTTCCCTTGATAATAATTCCAAGACAGGGCTATTGTTTCAACCAAAGAAAAAAGAAAGAAAGACGGCAGTCCACACCCACTGTCGAGGAAAACAAATGGTTTCTGACTCACTCTAAAGGAGTGGAAACTGCTGGTTCCCCTGCTGGTTTAATGGTCGGAACAAGATAAATTCTTTTTGGATCATTCATCTCCAAAGAGTTTTATAAAAGATATGTCAATTATGCTAAAAGGTTTATTTAAAAACCTTTAATGCCATTTGGAAAAACAAAATGAGTACCGTTTGATCGATTTCCTGATTCGGCTGTCACATTTGGCCCAGATAACCCATCCTGTACGTTGCTTGGGCTGCCACTCATGGATTCCTCTAGTGCTACTCCTTCTTCCCCTGTTTGGCCTATTTCTTCCACTGCTGGACTTCTGTTGTCAGACTCGTCCATGATTTCTTCTTCTTGCTTAATTGTCAGTTCTGAAAAAACAAAGCATAGTACAATCCTGATGAGCCTGATGGCACGGCAAATGTTAGGTGTATAGGAGAGTTAAAAATCTACTTTTACTATACAAATGCTGTCCACAGCGATCATGAACCATACCCAAACCCAGGCTGGCTACACAACTCTGTCAAAGGTAAATATGCATTACAATAAATTTGGTCAGATTGAATTGTAATGGATGGAGATGAACTAGGTGAAGGTAAAGGTTGAGCCACAAGGCCGAGTCACTTCTGTAAACTGAATTGGAGTGCAACGGGCTGATTTAATCTGTGTTGGACTTGCTATGTACTGTAGACAAAATGAATATAGGCTAGAGATAGAGAAGATTAGAGGTACAGAATATAAATAAAAATAATTAAAAAAAATTAAAATTAAAATTAAAAACATTTTTACATACCAACTGATTTCATAGATAGCATTGACTTGACATGGTGACAAGAAGAGACAGAAAGGGAAAAAAAAGAATAAAACAGGCTGGTCTAGTTTCTGGCTGTCCCTGGGAAGAAAGGGAGTGCCAGAGGCCTTCTCTGGCTGCCGCTCACTAGCAGTGGGAGACCGGCTGGATGGCAAAAGCAAAATATTGTGTAATATTATGAGTGCATCTGTGTGTGTGCGTGTGCGCATGCGTGCATGTGCGTGCACCGGTGCGCATGTGCATGTGTGGGTCTGCATGCTTCTGCATGTATGTGTGTCTGAATCTGAGCTGGCGGGAAACTTATCACTTAGTTTCTAGTTATTGGTTACAAGCATTTAGCAACAATTTAACATAAAAATACTAATTGTAATATTTTTCTAAGGTCTTCTACTCTTTATAGAATAAAATCAACAAACTCAACACAGCAAAACATTATCACAAAACATCATCTTCAGTCATTTAAACACAAACGCTATCTTAAATACGCCATGAACAAGCAAAATAAAGTGTTTACATTTATAGTTTATTACATTTGATATCTTTGATCTCTGTACATCTGTCATATGTAGCAATATCAAAGTAATATGCACAGGGGTCAGTTAGCTTTTGTTGTGTAAATTATATTTTTAATTAAAAAAAATCACATGAGCCTGTAGTGCTTTAAAAAACATTCAGGCACTACATAAAATCTTGTAAATAGCTTTTGGGGCTTTATATGTTGCACAGGCAAGGAGTATACATTATCCAACTACAACTAAACAATCCTGGCTATCTTATTATGGGATTTTATAAAAATCAATAATATAAGCATATGTGGTTGGATTACTAAAGCCTCCCATTAGACAGCAGTTAGTAATTGTTCTCTTTGACATGAAGTTAATTCTCACAGGCCAATATGAGATATGCATAAATGTGGTCATTGCAAGTGATTGAATCCATGCATATGCATACAAAAACAGCATTGTTCAATCTAATATTGTATGTTTTTCAATGCCACAGTTTGTACAGAAGAACACTTATCCCAATACCCAAGTTGCAATCGAGCCTGTCTTCGACAGCTGTATCCTGGCAACACGGAGCAGACCTGAACGTCCTTGCTATTCAGCTCCTTGCATCTTTACATCTGTCTCTCCAGTGTGGCAGAGTGGAATGCAAAGATTGGTCAGATGAGGATACGCTTGAAACAATCCGCATGACAAAAACAGCTAGGAAAATCATCTAGATACTGTTTTCATAATTACTACGTCTCCGTTCAATTTGTGAGTTATCTGAATTTTCATATAGTGAACAGAAAACCTAGAATCATGATCACTACTGATTGAGAAGGTGACCGAACCCCAAAAAAGAAATTCAGGCATCCCTCAATCTGTCATGTAGTCAGCTAGAGTGTAATCAGCGCATAACACAAATATAACCCCCGTACGGTTTCTGCTTTTGCTTGCAAGTTTAAGAAATTTGGCACCAAAATTTGTACCCCTTTGTGCTTATTGTCAGTATATGATGAGTAGTAACACAACTCTTTTGAAACAAAACCTCAAATGGCAAGCATGTTAAGCAACTGAGACGATGACAACAGCTCTTATTGGTGAAAAGTATTTCCCTGTGAAAACCATCGCACAGCTCACCTCCCTGCATCTCTAAACATGTGGGAGATAAGCTTCCCCTTTTTTTCACTGAGGTCCCTTGTCTTACTTTGTTTCCCCTTTTCTTACTTTGCTGCTTCACAGTGACACTGCTAGAGATGATCTATAGATATAAGTCAGTAGGCTGAAAGGAACCAAGCAACACTTCAGACCAAGTGCAACATAATATAAGATGCAACAGGGCACATTGTTTGCACGCAAGCTTTTACTGTGTAATCTACAGCCACTTCTGGTAACGCTGCTTTCGTCTTCAGGTATATTTTATTCGATAATTTTCTCACGAAGCGTCTCAAATTTAAGACAAGAATGTCATTCTAGCTTCATGCTTTGGATGGCTTTTCCTCCACTTTTTTACAATTTAAAGTTTCCACACAAATCAAATGAACATGAGTTCCATGCAAGATACCAGAAATATTATCACAGGCATCTGTTTTCTGATCTGCTCACATCTGCCATGGTAATTTACCTGGCGCAACCAATTATAAATGTATCAGTTATGTATTCCATAGTTACTGATGGGAAACAGAGTATTCTTTGTTTCCTTGCAAAACTTTTTTTGTGAAAAAATATCTTAATGCATAGCCAACCTGAATCATCTAATGCTGATTTTTAATGATAAAGTGCCTCTGCTCATTCTACAGCTGTTCTTGGAAGACTGCAGAAATGTGTATCTAATAACTGAGCACTCACCACCAGGGGAATTAGGACCCTGAGGAACTGTCTCTCCATTAGGTGCTGATATATCCGCCAACATTCTCGAGTTCTCCTTACCAGGAGAGCATTTGCCGTTACCTGGGAGACACAGAAACACTGCAATCTGCATTGTGCTGTAGAATACGGTACTTGAACAACAAATGCCACTGTTATGTGAAAAATGCCAGTTTTCTTGATTGTGTTAAATATGCAATTAATTGGTTATGTTACATCAAAAGGTTTCAAAGACTGAGGTTAAGATTGAGAAAGTTGCTGTTGAGAAAAATAAATGGTGTTATTGAGGATGACATTAGAGACTGTGACAGCAAAATACCAGACCTTACTGCATGCTTATTTCTGGTCTATGATCTTAATGCAGGTAAATATAGTGACAATAGAACAGAAATAAATATAATGTCTCGATTTGACATACTGAATAAGATGAAGAAGCCTTCTGCTGCTTGCCTTCTCAGATTGAAAATGATTAATTTCTTCATACTCAGATCTATTTCAAGACCTATTTTGAATAGTCATTAAGGTAGTCAACATCCAGAATGCAAAACCAAACTACCCAAAAGTTTTTACCCACCTATGTGATTATAATGTTCAGCAAATGTAGATCAAATTGCATTCTCTCAGCAGTTTGTACAGAACTCGGGCTATGGATAGCCCGGTGTCCACTCAGAGGGAGAGCAAACCAATCCCTTATCCCCTTACAGCATGGCCCCATCAGGGTCACTAGAACAATGCAGTAGCAACAGGCAAACACCCCTTCTGACCCCTTAGGAGCCACAGTGAGAAATACTGTAAAGTATCCATTGTGGTGTCACCACACTATCAGTCCGATTTAAAAAGGATAGCTGCAGCTATGGAATCTCTGTAAAAAATCAAAAGAATATGATAGATGCTTCCTGTGAATTGCTACAATGGTGCACTGTTACAATTTGTTTATTCTGAATATGTCTAAAGTGACCCCGCATACATGAAAAAAGAAATCTGTGTCAGATCTTTTCTCTCTTTGACAGCTCCTCTTAACTTGACAAGCTTTTTCTGTGGCATTGTTCCATTGTAGTTACAGCCTCACTGAGTGGGCTTACTGGGAGATGCTGTCCAAGACACAATCCCTGGGCCTAGGCTCAGGTTGCACAGGTTGGGGTTGGAGGAAATCTCAGGTGACCAACGTTGGCTATCCCTTGGCAATACTGTCCTGGAGACAGGAGTGGCCCAGATTTGTCATGGAGGATTTTCCATTACTGTAACAGATGCTGTCAGACACCTAACAGTACCATGGTAATCTAGGTAATCCCAAATCTGTCCATCTATCTTTAACAGACATATCTAATTCAATCCAGTCGCATGCAGCAATTCAATGTATATGTATATGTTGCATGACAACCTGCTAAAATTTAAACTGAGCATCAGAATAGGAGAAAAAAAGTGATTTAAGTGACTTTGAATACAGTATGTCCAAAAAAAAAAATCCAGCAAATGGCAGTCCTCTGTAAAAAATGTTTTGTTTTATGACAGAGGTCGGAGGACAATGGCCAGACTGCTTCAATCTGAAGGAAACAGTAACTCAAATAACTACTTGTTACAACAAGGTATGCAAAAGAACATGGCTGAGTGCACATCATGTTACACGTTGAAGCAGATGGGCTACAGTAGAGTAGAAGATGACACTGGCTGCCATTCTGTTAGTTGAGAACAGAAAACGGAGGGCTAGAGTTTAAACAGGCTAACCACAACTCGACAACAAATGATTGGAAAGTTATAGGTTTCAATTTCTGCCTCAGTACTCAGATTTATAGGTTGCGATTTCATTTGAACAACATAAAAGTGTGGCTCCATTCTGCCTTATATCAGTGACTCAGGCTGGTGGTGGTGGTGGTGCTGTGATGGTGGGGAATAATTTTGTTTAGCACACTTTGGGCCCTTTAGTACCAATTGAGCATTGTTTAAATGCCACTGTCTATCTTGGGATTGTTACTGACCATTTCCATCCATTTATGACCACAGTACATATCACAAAGCTGAAATCATCTCAAACTGGTTTCTTGAGAATGAAACTTGGTTAACTGAACTGAATCCAGTAGAATCCCCTTGAAATATAAATCTATATCAATCGATACATAGATACATAGATATCACAACCAGTGAGTTTGCAGACACAAACTTTTAACGTTTTACTGGCTGATAGATAAATCATTTTGGGATGGGTAAATAATAGACTCAGACACACACGTATGCTTTCATGGACTGAGGTTTGCGTTGGTGCCCCTGGTTTGCTGAGTCAAATCTGTATGAACAGATTAGGATATCAAACACTTTAATCTTACGGAAGAAAATGTTCTTTGAGTAATATACAAAATTGACATGATTTAATGTGTTGGCAAATGGAAAGGAACAAATGTGTACACATGAAACTTGTAGGTGTAATAATTGCTGACTTCACTAACATACAGTGAGCATAGCTTATAAAGTCCAATCATTGTCCCAGGATAGCAAATGGAATTTCTGCTCTTATAACTTGTTTTAAGTGTCAATATCATACATACTTATTCAATTTGTCAAATATAGGCAATTTCTGAGTTTTATACCAGCCACACATTTGGAAAAAGGAAGATCGGGGACAACAAATGGCTGGAGAAGACAAGCTATTACGAACATCCCAGATTAGTTGGACTCCCACAGAAGTAAAGATGGGGAGGTTTTTCACTTACAAAATCCTACATCGATAGTTGTTGAAAGACCTACAGACTCTGGAGAAATCTGTTCACGTGCCCAGAGGAAATCATTACATAATCTCAGGATACTACTGAAAACCACTATCACTGTGGAACACAGTTCAGCAACATTACTATGCAAAAAAAACCTTAAAAAAGTAAAATAAAAAAAAGTGTTGCCTATATAAACAAGATTTAAAAACACTAGCACTTTGTTTGGACCTGAGTTCATATAAGATGGACAGAAATGAGATAGAAAACTGTCTTGTGTGCCGTTCCAAAGCAAAACCATATGGGGATTCATAAGTGCACATGGCATTTCTTACAATGAGTGTTATACACAGTTTTCTGCTTTTAGTTTTCTTTTGCAGCATAACCATAAGCAGCATCTTTTGCAGAACAGACCTTGCTTATATCAGCAAATCGATACCACACGACATTCTGTACTTATGACAACAGCGAGGCTTTGAAGTAAAAGAGGCTTGATGCTAAGTTGAGAAGGCTGCAGATAAAAATAAAATAAAAAATAAACAGTTAAAAGATTTTTTAAAACGCAAAAAAAGCATCGAGAAAGTTGCGTCTTTTATCTAGCAAGACTAGAAAGGCATTTTTTTATAGTATACTAAATGGTTATGAGTAGTGTTAGCAGAAGTCGGGATGCAACACAGAGGTAAACATGTCGCTTTCCTAAATTATTTGAAATATGTTGCTGCCATAAAGTTCGAAATTAATCTATGTGTCTTAAAACAAACAAATACATGAGAACAATATAATATCTCCCTTTTAACGTTTTAATGTTTGATACGTTGTCTTTGTATTTTTTTTTAAACGTAGGAATTACAAACCACTACACTCGATGTTTTTGTTATATTTGTAATATAGTTTCCCAGAGATTTTGGAAAATGTGTAAACAGAGTGTTTATATGTAACAGGGGATGCTAAGAATTAGTGTAGTAGGGTAGCTGTGTACATGTGGAAGAGTACTGAGTGAGACTGTGATGATGTGTGACACAAAGGTAGACTACTTGACCTAAATTTTCACCCACAGTACACAGTGCCTCGCCAAACCTAGGAGAAAGTCAAAATATATGGGAGCAATGACAATTTCCATCTAGTATCCTCCAAAGATGTATGCCTTTTGAAAGATATATAATTATAAAAATATTATTTCAGAAGTGACGCACCGACAGGCAGGAAGAAAAAGAGCCTCCATTTCTTTTTTCCACCTCCAAGACTATTCGCCTGTGTGTTCCTGCAAGCGCAAACCCCAAATGAAGACCTAAAAGTCCCCACAGATCATCAACAACATGCTACCTGTTTTGAAATATGCACACCAAAGCGAAATACATGGTGTGGGGGGGGGGCAGGGAAGATATTCAAGAGACCTGCCCAAAGGAAACCAGCAAAGGGCAATGGAGCACCACAAAGCGCATATCCAGTATCTGCTGCATTCAACAGGATGTTGCTAATGCATTTTCTCTAACTTTAAGGGGTGAACAGGAAAAAGGCTGCACTTGGGGGAAAATCCCTTAAAATGTTGTGTTGTGATTGCAAAAATGTTTTGGGGTTTTCTTTGTCTTTTTTTTTTCATGGTTTAAAAATAAATCAAATAAAAATCAAATAAAAATTGTTGGATTCACTGTGAAATTCAAAACCACTTTTTAAGGTCAAAGTTCTCATAATGATGCAATCATTATTATTCTCATATTCAGAAGAATATAAACATGCATTTGAATATATGCATTATAGTGTGTCCTTGTTTATAATGTATGGGTCACAGTGTCAATTGAATGTAATAAATAATACATGTAAAGACTTACTAGTACGATAGTCTTCGGAAGTCTCCATTTCTAGGGCTCTGGGAGTGCTGCAATAGAAAATTGAGATATTACTGCAACGTTTACATTATTAATTTGTCTTAATTCTTCATTTGTTTAACGATGAAGACGAACAGATAAAACTAAGTGACACAATGAATGATCACGTAAACCTGCACGATCAAAGCAATGCATGTGCAAACTAACTGCAATTCACAGCAGCTACAAAGCTTTGTGTGTATAACTTCCACTCTACAGAAGTTTATTACAGCAACAATAGGTCTGTGCTGTTTTCTTTTTAGAGAAGTAGTCATGTATATTTAGCAAGTTACCCTGTGAACTATTTTAAATGTGTGAACAGCCGTGTTTTAGTTTCACATTCTACAATGAAAAGAGTGCTTGTCTAAAAAGAAGTTGAATTGTTGATTTCATGGTTCCTTTATTCACCTCTTTCAACGAAATTACATAATCATTGTACAAACGTTATACATTTCACCTATCTTTATTTCAGGTTAAATGAACCCCTCAACTATTTGAGCGAATAACAAAACGGGCAAGGGAAGATGAACCAAAATGTGCACCATGCTGACAGATTAATCACTAAAATTTATTACGTTACAATTTGAACTTTGGTGCCAAACAAAGTGACAAAGCAACCAACACAATAAGTGGCATCGCCTCAAAACGAAACCCAAGCATTCAACTTTCTAGAAGGGCAGTGTAAGGCACGCTCTGTTTTTAACTGAGTGTTGGTGTAATGGGGCACATATGAATAAGTTGTAATGGGATTTCTTATTTTTATATGTTAGAAACTGAAGTTTGGTTCAATCGTTATCGCTCAACCTCCTTTCATTGCTGAGTTTAAAAATGTTATAATTAAGAAATACAAAGTAACTTTATAATCATTAGAATTTGGAAGCACATTACAACAACAAAAACTCTGATATTATTTAAACGTGTGGAGTGTCACAACAACATTACATTGTATCACTGCACAGCTGCTGGCTTCCTTGAAGAACATACAACTAAGCTCTTAAATAATGAGAAAAGAGGGCAAGACAAACGCAGAATCCACATCCCCTTTTTTCATTTCCCATGATTAGATATTAGATACTCTAATAACAGTTTACTGGTGACAAGAAGTCAGCCACAATTTTCTCAGTACATACATGAGACCTCCTCTTAGCTACATGGGGGTAATCTTTGGCCATTTTATAGTCACAGCAACTAGGCATAGCCATTTCTTTTAAACAGTGATTATTTATATACGATAAGCCACTAAAATTAAAAGTGAAACGTGAAAGTAAAACAAGAAAGTAATGTGGAGTGAATAAAATATATATATATTCACATAATTACCTTCAAGAGTCTCCCTTGTGCAAAAATTAGTTGGTGCTTTCAGTCAAGGACGGAGGAGGGGGTGGCAAGGTGTCTCCACCTCCCTTTAATGAAACAAAGAGTAAAATATGCCTATTTAGTCCAGGGATGTCTCAATACGAAAGAAAGTACTTCTTTTTAGATCGACACGTCTCATTAGCAGTCCACTAAAAGCGAAAAACATCCTCTAATTCACATGAGTCAGCTCAGAAAAAATCATTGGAAAGTTGAGGAGGTGCGCGTCGATAGTGTCCTACAGGTGAATGTCAAAAGCTTCTTCTGCGTGCGTCCCGCACAGTTTTCCACATTAAAAAAAAACGACACTCGCGCTGCCCCACCAAGTTATACACTCACTGGATGTGACTGTAAAGCATTCCATTAGAAGTCGCACGACTCTTGTCTTACCCCGTGGACTTTTGCAGTAGGAACAAAGAAGTGGAAAACTCAACAAGTTGGTAAGGAAAGAAAGAGAAGGATCAAACTGGATCCACCGGTTCCTAAGGAATTAGCCATAGCGACAGGGAGCAGCCAAGCTATTTTCAACAACCAAAGGACTGGAAATCCGCGGGTAATGATAATAGGCAATGATAAAAAGCTACTGTGGAGATGTGACTCAAGGTCAAACCGGTAGAGCTTCATCTGTTTTAACTGCTGCTGCTGCTGCTGCCAACAATAGGAATAATGTGATGTAGTGGCAAACTAAACGGCGGATAAAGTCGACAACACCAATGCGTCCAAACGCTAGCCAACGTGGGGCACTGTCCCATCAGCCATAATAATAAGTTAAATTATCAGTTTCCTTTTTAAATAAAGGCCTTCCACTTTGAAACTACTTCCTACTTTGTCTGCACGGTTACTTTAGGAAGCCAAAAATATTCAAACTAAGAAAAACAGCAAAAAGGCAAGAAAAGTGTATTTTGCAGATCATCAGGCAAGTTAAGTAGTAAGCTAAGGACAGAGTGCATACCTGGCTGGCAACAGCGCATCTCTGGGAATAACCATCAGCTGCAAAACCGTAAAGCGACTTTTTGTTCTTATAGTGGCAACGCGCTGTTTCTCGTGTTAAGTGATTTTTGCTGGCTGTGTTGCCTGGAAGGCTCGGAGCTGACTGACAGCTGCAATTCAACAGGTTATCCGATCACCGCAGTCTACAGCAGAGCCCGTCTGGCTTTCCATTCATCAGACAGACGCTCCTTGTCTGCCTTTGCTGCAGACATGCGCCCCTAGCAGCTCTGAAGCGTCTGTAGCCAATTGATAGCCGAACGAAATTCAATGGCTATATCAAAGCAGTTACCTAGTTCAAACAGGAAACCGATTCACGCACTAAGGTCTCTCCCGCGCGCTCTCTTTTTTTAATTTACCTTAAACACGTAGGAGTTTATATAATCCCATGAACTTGCACACTGATCCAGACTGAATGTCTCGGCTTGAAACGGAATTCATTCTTGTCCGACATCTAACATGCAGCGCGGACTGACAGGTATGGTTCCGCAGCGGCAGCAAAAGCAACAGTTGTTACATCCACCACTGACTTCCTCTTCCATCTCCTCCACAGACAACCAGCACGAGCTGCTATTCTGGGAACTTGGTCTGACACAGAGAAACGGATCACAGAGTGTGGACCCAGTCTGCCTCCCTGCTCGGCAATCGATTAGGTTACAAGGGGCCTCTTATTTCTAAGGCTGTTGCCAGATTATATCC